CGGCCCCCGCCCCAGGCCCGCCTCCACACACTCCGCGGCGAAGACGCTCATCGCGTGGCTTTCCACGCCCCCGGCCTTGTTGGGGGTTGGGGGTTCGGCTCACAGGGGCCCTTGTGCGCGGATCGGCAATTCCCTCGGTTTCCCCCCTTCGCGGCGTGGAAACGTCTCAAGGGATTCGTGAGGGCGGCGCCGAAGGGTTGGGGTGAAGGGTACGCCCGAGAGGTCGATGGAAGAACAACGCCGGCGGGATGCGCACCCGTATGGCTTTTTCGAAGTCACCGATCGGCCACACCGCTCTCAGGGTTTACTTCCCCTAAATCGCTTCAATCGTTTCTAGTGTTCTCGAATTAAAGGAAAAGCAATACCAAATATACCGACAAGGAGACAGTTAAAAAAAAGAAAAAAAGATGAATGTGAAAAGGGAAGAATGTAACTCTAAAACGCGTCGGTCACTAAAAGTTTTTTTCCTGATGTCGATGTTTCTCACACCCTTCAAAACCTTGGGATTAAAAATTCCTTTGAAGTGAATGACTTTGTTCGTAAAATATGTCTAGTTTAAGTATTTTCCACCTTTCCTGCGTTTTGATATAGGAAATCGATGAGTGTTGTGATACAGCGAAAAGGGAAAACAAAGCAGTTTAAAACAAAATAGCAGCAAAAAAAGGATAGTCGGACCTTACCTTTAAAGAGAAATAGAGATATTGTGTTAATTTCTGTAAGATAAGCTTAATTTAGCTAATGTATTATCTACACATATAATGTATATCAATCAAATAGAGAGATGGATAGGGAGTGTGTTGGCGAAACACAAAACAGAGTATAGGGAAACTATGTCAATACGTGGTATACTCATTTTCATAGAAAATAGAAACACAACAGTAGAACAGACTTCATATGTTAAAGTAGAGAATAGTTGCTTAAGATCAAAATTTTATGTATCCCATAGTAGATTATTCAGTTAGCTTGTGTCCCATTGATGATATATCAAAGGAGAAGGAATCGAGCTTTGGATAATGGAGGCTAATGAGCATTTCCTTTCAGGTGCTGATAGCTTTCCTCAATCCCTTTAATCTACACCAACAAGTAAACACTTCGTACAGTAGTATGGGTGTAGGTGAACTTTGGCCTTTTTTCTTAACCATCTTTACGCTCTGTGATACAAACTCAACAACCTCTTAAAGCACTTACACTGGGGCTGGGGGTTTCGACACCTCAAACGAAAATAAAAACCGCAATAGGCTCTTTTGTATCAGACAGTTTTCCTTGTCTCCTAACAAAACCCAAGAGAATGGGATTTACCTCAAACGAACACTTCCAAAGGCAGCGAGAAAAGTGTGGATATCAGGGCAAGGAGGCATTTTCGTTTGAAATTCTTGAACATCTATTTCTATACTTCTAGATCCGTTTGAGGGTATTGAAGATAAGAACAAAAGGAAAGGAAATAAGGTTGAAACATTATTTATTCATTTCTGCATCCAAGATGTAGATTGTGTGATATTTCTGGTTTAAAGAACCTTTCCTTGCACGTTGCTGATAGGTTCTCTTTTGGTTTGGCAGTATTAGGTCTGTTGCGGATGGATTAATTACCCATTTTATCATAAAAGGGAAAAATAGCAACAACAAAGTAACGCAACAGCAAGCTAAATAAAAAATGAGGCTGATTGCGAAGGCAAGATGTGAATTAATTAAAATCCACCCTAGTACGATTATGATTAGGTGCCCTACGTCATAAACAGTGTGGAAAAGACAACTGAATAAAGGAACTAAACGATTTTTATCCATAAAAAGAAAAATACAAGGGACTTGAAGTCAAGCAACCTAATATCATCAAATTATTTCACACATTTTCTCTATAGAAACACGATTATTCATTTGATTATTTTTAAATAGAAAAAGCCAATCCGCATGCACAGCCCTCAAGTAAGAAAAGTATATAGCGTGAACTAAAGAAAAGTGTAGCGCCAAAACAGAGGGCTCCGTATAATGTTAAATCACAATAGATAACCTCAAAAAGAGAGCCCACATAAACGGAGGTGGGCAAAACCATACTGAATAAAGTGAAACTATATCTCCTGAGTGCCTAAGGCGATATATTTTCTTTATGTTGATTTTTTTTTTTTAAGGCAGTCGTATCATATTCAAAAATATGTTCAAATAATCATAACAACAAGGGTAATAATAATAAAAAAAACAACAACAACAAATGAAAAAGATATCGTCAAACAGTGTAGTGTTTTACCGATACTTGCTGAGGAAAATAAATGAGAAAAATAAGGTGAGGTACTCCCAACGGAGACGCACAATAATCTAATTTTATCAGGTTAATTTTGACTGCAATTTATCGGTGCCTTTCCATATGAGATATATACGAGAACCCAACTGTTATCTGTCTTCGTGTTAAATAAATTAAAAATATTTGATCCTACATTTATTTGGGTTACCTCTTTATGTATTTCATAGTATCTTCATTTTTTTTTTTGGTGTCCCAACCAATGCGATGACCTTAGACTTATACGTCTATTATAGACTGTTTCGACTGTGATGTCAAGGATTATAATTATAATTATTCGTCGGACCTAGAATATCAACTTCACATAATATTATATTCTGAAGTTAAATGTCATTAACAAAATACCCAATAAATATTGCTCGAACAGCCAAAGCGAAACAATTTGTTTCACCAAACCACTGGAACAACTGCAAAAAGGAAAAGATAAAAAGCGTATCGAAATAAACTAGAACCAATACTAAATATCATTCTATTCAAGGGTAAAAGAAAAAGAAAAAGTATGCAAGACGCGCTAGGCTAATGTGCCTCATGCAGTTTCACTAATATCAAGACACCGAAAGGGAAAAGTTTGAATGTCACCCAGGTCCAAAAAAATCCCATAAACCATTTAATCGAAAAGAAGAAAACGAGTATTGTGGGATTATTCCCAATTTCCTCCTCCTTTACAGGAATCACACATTTTTGGCTTCGGCAGCTTCCGCAACTACCCTCTCCGTCTCGACCTTGTTGCGCCCTTTTCTTCATAGCTGTGGGGGAGTAGTCCCACTTTCTACTACTCCTTTCTGATTGTGCCACTACCTATTGACCAATTTGCCGTTGATCGAGGTGTGTTGTTGTTTTGAATTCAATTTCCTATTCCGCCCTCTCTCGGGCCCGTCCGTGTTTGTTTTGTTTTCGGTCAGAGGGCAGAGTCACCGTGTCGTCGATTGTCCCGTGCATGATAATAGCACCCACTATTATTAAACATCTCGACGGCGCCGATGGGGTTGTTCACGTTTGCGCCGCTGCCCCGTCGTTTGCCGCGCGAGCGGTCGTAGGGCTCGACCCCGGCTTCGCTAATGTGGATGTTGTGGTTAAACCCGCCCGTCCCCGGCATCATGTGCATGCGGTACCGCCCCCCGCCGGTGGGGTTCCCCCCGTTATGGATGTGGTGGTGGCTGCCCCCGGGCTTCCGCCCGCCGCCTCGCCAGTTGTGGGGGTGGGGGTGGGTCGTCCGCATCCCCGGCGTCGTGTGCGTCAGGACCGCCTGCACCGCCGCGACGACGGTCTTGGAGGGGATGCTGATGTTGAGGGCCGCGGGGCTGCTGTTGGCGAGGCCCCCCC